GTGGCAGGGAGCCTGCTTCTCCCTCTGCCTCTGCCTGCCACTCTGTCTGCCTGTGCTCATGCTCTCTCTCTCTAACAAATAAATAAATAAAATCTTAAAAAAAAAAAAAAAAAGAGAGAGAGATTTGGGGAACTGGAGAATACACCACAGAATGCAAACTGTTACAAAGAAAGATAAGTTTAATTCTGCATTATAGAGTTCTCAGTTATTTCAATACACAAAACTGCTATGGAATTTGATATTGTGTGCTACATCACACAGCAGGTCAGTGGGAAATGAACAAATCATTTTTCAGCAGTCAATCCATAACAATGAGTTAGAAATCAGGCAGATGCTTTCAAAGGGCTTTCTAAAATTAAGAGAATCTAGAATAACCTAATATTCAGAATGAAAGACATGTCCTCAAGTCTAACCATGTAACCTACGAAAAGAAATAGGGGATAGAAAGAAAGCTCTTTCTAGGAAAAAAAAAAAAGAAAGTGTATAGAAAGAAAACATTCTTGAGTATGTGGGTTCTCCTCTTAGTATCTTAGTATTTCTATTCTCATCCTTTTCCAACTATATCAACTATAGTTCTTCAGGGCATTACTGAGTCAAATAAAATTTCCCTGAACAAAGGACCTATGATTCCCTATTAAATCATCAGACCCATAGTTTATGCACATGATGATTACCAACCTCATCGGAATCCAGAAGGGCTGGAAGTGCTCTGCAGAGAGAAAAACACCAAAATGAACAATGTAAAGTCATAAATAGTTCATAAAGGAAAGTAGATTATGAATGCAATTTAAAGCCTTTTTTATAATTATCTAAGATCTGCATATTAATGGCCATTTCAGGGGAATAAAAGCAAATATAAAAACAGAAGGTTACTGGAAGTGTACAGAAAACAAACAGGTTTTGCACTGTGACAGAGCCAATATTTAATTAAAAATAATCATGGGGGCACTTGGGTGGCTCAGTCATTAAGCATCTGCCTTTGGCTCAGGTCATGATCCCAGGGTCCTGGGATCAAGCCCTGCATTGGGCTCCGGCCCTGCATCGGGCTCCGGCCCTGCATCGGGCTCCCTGCTCAATGGGAAGCCTGCTTCTCCCTTTTCCACTCCCCCTGCTTGTGTTCCCTCTCTCACCGTCTCTCTCTCTCTGTCAAATAAATAAATAAAATCTTAAAAAAAAAAAGATAAAAAAAATAAAATTAAATTAAAAAAATAAAAATACAGTCATGGGAAAGAACTAAAAAATTCCAAAGAATTATCCCAATGATTTTAGGAAGATGGATAACTAAAACTTTCTAAGCAGAAATGTCATCTGAACAAATAATTCCAATTACTTTTGGTTGTATATCATTTGTAATTTTTATTGAACATCTTTTAAACATTTTTAATATTCCTTAATTTAAATAATTTAATCTATAAGCATTCTCATTAGGATGTTCTTCAGCTCATTCAATTAAATAATAAAAGCAATACTGAAATAAGATTCTCATGGTAATGATTCAAAAACTTACACATCTGTCACAGAAGAAGGAACATTCTCCTCTACCCACTTCAAATCATCTTCCTGCTGGGAACATACAAATATCAGTTGTTACTAAAACGCCCCAAATAATACATCCCAAGTAAGGATCTATAGAGGTCTCAAAATTCTTAAATTTAATCTTTTGGGCATTCTTAAGGAGTATATTCATAACAAATGGCACTGATAATAATTTTTAAAACTATATAATCCAATACTTTAAAAAACCATGTAAGTGAAATATAAAATGATGTCTTTAAATGCTTTCCTCTCAATGGTCTAATACCTAAGAGTTTGCCTCATGTAAGTTTTGCTCCTTAAGCGTGAGATTAAACTCTAAAGCCCTTAATGTAGACTGCATGTACTATTTTAAAACAAAACAGAACAAAAAAACTGCTGAATGAAAAAATCTTGATCTTTACTACAAGAAACACCTTAGGTTATTAAAAGGGCTATTAACTGCCACTAATGAAAACAACTAAATAGAACCATCAGACTAGGGACGCTTGCCTGGGTGGTTCAGTTGGTTAAGCGTCTACCTTTGGCTAGGTCATGATCCCAGGATCCTGGGATTGAGTCCCACACTGGGCTCCTTGCTCAGCAGGGAGCAATGATTCTCCCTCTGCCTGCCACTCCCCCTGCTTGTATGTGCACTCTCTAACAGATAAATAAAATCTTTAAAAAAAAAAAAAAAAAAAAAAAGAACCATCAGACTAGTCTGGAACCTTTGCAGGACATAGTAGCAAACCATCTAGTTAAAGATTACTAGGTCTTAGAATCACTTGCTATTTTTATAAATGTAAATGTATTATATATGAAAAGATCTTTTTATAAAGCAAGCTTAAAGCACAGATTTAAAAAATCATTAAGGCCTGTATATAACTACTTACTGCTTTGTTTACTTTACTATTTCCATTTGGTTCTTGTTTAGTACTTCTCATTTTCATTCCTTCTGTAAAGCGAATACAAAGTAGATGGGGTTAAGTATATTAGTAGACCAGCAATGATTTCAAACATGAATTCAGAATGTTAAATTTACTCAAACTGAATTATACAACAATGTTTCTCCATCTTTATGCTAGGAAATCCTGATTTTCAGCTCCTCCAGTAAGCAAACTGGACATTTAATGTACAACTGTTTACTGAATTTACCACAGCTTCACCTGAAAATTTATACCCTTATTTTTGCTGTCCCCTAATTTACCAAAGGCCAAACTGAGACACAAGTGTAAAATGGGTGTAAAATAATAAACTATATCCAAGTATCCTGATTTGGATACTCACAAACCATTATACTTGCTCTACTCTATTTCTAAAAACCAGAAAATATTTAAAGCACAAATAAAATTTTATCACTACCAAAGCTTTCTTTTAGCATAGGTTCTTTTTGTTCATCCTCTTCCTCTTCCTCAGACAACGGTGAAAAGGCAAACCTGACCAAACAAAGATAGAACAGAAGGAAAAAACTTAGAAAACTACAAAAAATGGTCCACTAACTAGATTTTATAGGTTTTACTACTGAAACTGCAATGAGTCATTCATAAAATTATTTCAGTGAAAATGAGTAACTCTTCCCCTTCAGAAAGCTCTTGATTGCCTATACGAGCAAGAGAAGCAGGAAAGCATCACACTGATGAGTGCAGGCTCAGCCACGTACTACTTATAACTTGATACAAATTACTTATTCTCTGTGCCTCAGTATTCTCATCTGAAAATGGGGATGATGAAACATCACTCACAGAGGTGTTCTGAAAAAAGTAAACATTTCAAAAAATGCTTAGAATAATACCTCACACATAGTAAGCATTTATAAGCATATATAATCAAACAAAGGGAAGTAAATTCTCATGTGCTTTAAAATCTCAGCCTTTGGGCGCCTGGGTGGCTCAGTGGTTAAAGCCTCTGCCTTCAGCTCAGGTCATGATCCCAGGGTCCTGGGATCGAGCCTCACATCGGGCTCTCTGCTCGGCAGGGAGCCTGCCTCCTCCTCCTCTCTCTGCCTGCCTCTCTGCCTACTTGTGATCTGTCTGTCAAATAAAAATCTTAAAAAAAAAAAATAAATTAAAAAAAAATAAAAATCTCAGCCTTTGGGGGCGCCTGGGTGGCTCAGTGGGTTGAGCCACTGCCTTCAGCTCAGGTCATGATCTCAGGGTCCTGGGATCGAGTCCCGCATCGTGCTCTCTGCTCAGCAGGGAGCCTGCTTCCCTCTCTCTCTCTCTCTCTCTGCCTGCCTCTCTGTCTACTTGTGATCTCTCTCTGTCAAATAAACAAATAAAATCTTAAAAAAAAAAAAAAAATCTCAGCCTTTGAATCTGGGGTCAAGAGACAGAAGACCTGACCTTATATGTACCAGGTGATTTAAAAATCTGTTTCCCAGTGGGGAACTGAGAAGATGAAGGCCTCATCTTACCTTTCCAACTTTGAACAGATTCAGCAAAGCAGGTGCCAGACAGACAATTCTGTTTTTTGTTAATTTTTATTTATTTGAGAGAGAGAAAGCAGAGGGAGGGGCAGAGGGAGAGACTCTTTCAAGCAGACTCCCCGCTGAGCATGGAGCCCAACATGGGGCTCAATCCCATGGTCCTGAGATCACAACCTAAGCCAAAACCAAGAGTAAGGACACTCAGTTGACAGCCACCCAGGTGCCCCCATATAGGTAATTCTTACAAAGCATTAGCTTTGAACTCACTCTGTACTTACTGTTGCCTATTATTTTCATTCTACCTTATTTGTAAAACTCCCTTTTATCAATTTAAAAAACAATAACAACAAAAAAACCCCACCTCTTTAAAAGTTAGGAATATGGCACCTGGGTGGCTCAGTTGGTTAAACTCCTGTCTTTAGCTCAGGTCATCCCAAGGGTCCTGGGATCAAGTCCCACATCAGGAGCCTTGTCCCTCTGCCTGGTGCTCCCCCCTGCTGCTTGTGCTCACTCTCTCGCAAATAAGTAATTAAAATCTTAAAAAAAGAAAAAAAAAAAGCTAGGAATCATAGGGAACACACCCATAACCTATTAAAGAGTAACTAGCAAAAATTAACAGTAGATGCCAAAGCTAATGATACTTAAGCACTTAAAGTCAGAATAAGATAAGGAGGCCCACTCTTAATGCCTCGATTCAATTTTATATAGGAGGGCCTAGCCAACGTAAGAAACCTCTGCTTCTCCCTCTGCTTGCCAACCTCCCCAACCTCCCCCTCGCTTGTGGTCGCACTCTCTCACGCTTTCTCACTGACAAATAAATAAAATCTTAAAAGAAAAAAAAAAAAAAAGAGAGAGGCGCTTTGGTGGCTCAGCAGGTTAAAGCCTCTGCTTTCGGCTCAGGTCATGATCCCAGAGTCTAGGATCGAGCCCCGCATCAGGCTCTCTGCTCAACCGGGAGCCTGCTTCCTCCTCGCTCTCTGCTTGCCTCTCTGCCTACTTGTCTGTCAAATAAATAAATAAAATCTTAAAAAAAAAAAAAAGAGAGAGAGGGAGAGAGAGAACTGAGAAAACAATGTAGGAGGGTTGATGGGTATGATAAATATATAAAAATCAATAGCATTCAAAGGGTCCTGGCTGACTCAGCCTGTAGAGCATGTGACTCTTGATCTCAGGGTCATGAGTTCAAACTCTAATCAGGTATGGAGGCTACTTAAAATTTAAAAAAAACGGGGGCACCTGGGTGGCTCAGTGGGTTAAAGCCTCTGCCTTCGGCTCAGGTCATGATCCCAGTGTCCTGGGATCGAGCCCCTCATCGGGCTCTCTGCTCAGTGGGGAGCCTGCTTCCCTTCCTCTCTCTCTGCCTACTTGTGATTTCTGTCAAATAAATAAATGAAATCTTTTAAATAAATAAATAAAATTAAATTAGAAAAAATTCAGTAACATTCCTACATTTTTGCCAAAGCCACATGTATTATTTTAAAAGGGTGTATCCAGGGATGCCTGAGTGGCTCAACTGGTTAGGCACCTGCCTTCAGCTCAGGTCCTGATCCCGGAGTCCTGGGATGGAGTCCCGCACCTAGATCCTTGCTCCTCTGCTTCTTCCTCTGCCTCCTCTACCTGCTCTGCCTGCCACTCTCCCTGCTTTGGGCTCTCCAACAAATAAATAAAATCTTTAAAAAAAAAAAAGGTGGGGGGGGTGGTTTGCATCCATAAGAGCCATAACATTTTTTAAATATTTCAATAAAAGGGGGCGCCTAGGTGGCTCAGTGGGTTAAGCCTCTGCCTTCAGCTCAGGTCACGATCCCAGGGTCCTGGGATCGAGCCCCACATCGGGGGGGGGGGGTCTGTACTCAGCAGGGAGCCTGCCTCTCCCTCTCTCTCTGCCTGCCTCTCTGCCTACTTGTGATTTCTCTATCAAATAAATAAAAAATCTTTTAAAAAAAATTTCAATAAAAGTTATGACTAAAGCACAGGACTAAAATTGGTAGAGCAGTAACATATTCAAGGATGTAAAAATATATATAATTTCCCAAATTAACCTATTAATTAAATTCCAATTAAAATCAATAAAGGTTTTCCTAGAATTAAACAAACAAGCTAAACATTTCATTAAAGAGCAAAGATCCAGTAACAATGGATATTTTTTAAAAAAGAAGACTAAGGGAAGGGCACATACCAAGACATAAGAGTAAACTAAGGTAAGACAATGTACTACTGATGCAGGATCAGAGGGATAGGAAAAAATCAGAGAACCCACAGTCAAACAATTCTTGATGAATGAAAGTTCAACTGTGAAATTTTGAAAAAAATTATAATTTCAGAATTCACCTCAAGCCAGGAAAGTTTCTTAAACAAGACACAAAATACACAATACATGAAGGAAAAAAAACCCCGACAAATTTGACTCCATACTTTCAAGATTTTCTATAGCCAAGAATACCATTAAAATGTTCAAAAACAATCAACGAGAAGAAAATATCTAGAATGCTTAGAACAAAATATTGGTATCTAAAATATATAAGGAATTCCTACAAATCGATACAAACTGATCAATAACCTGATTTAAAAAAACTCAAAATATAAAAAGCTGACTGACAGGTGAACTAATGACCATAAGCACATAAAAGCCATAAAAAGTAATTCAGCCTTAAATGTAATATTTTTAAAATAACAGTGAATATTCTCATCTGCCAGATCTGCAAAAACTGAATAATGGGAATATAGGAGGTACATATACAATTTGTTTCAGATTTTATTTAATGCACTCTGACTTTAATACTTTGAAAATTACAAATGTGCTACCCTTCACCCCAACAGTCCCAAGCCTACTCTATTTTTTAACTTCTTTTTAAAAGAACACAAACATATGCATACTAAAAAGACACACTAAGGGTGCCTGAGTGGCTCAGTCATTAGGCATCTTCCTTTGGCTCAGGTCATGATCCTGGGGTCCTGGGATCGAGCCCCGCATTGGGCTCCCTGCTCAGCAGTAACCCTTCTTCTCCCTCTCCCACTCCCCCTGCTTGTGTTCCCTCTCTCGTTGTCTGTCAAAGAAATAAATAAAATCTTAAAAAAAAATAATAAAAATAAATGAATAAAAAGAGAGGCTATTTTCACAGGGTAAAAAGATATTACTTATTTTCTAAGTCTTTTATTGGTATGTCTGATTATAAAATTAGCCACTCAATTATGCCACCTCATCCTTTTCCTTCTTTGGTGATATGGTTGGGTAATATAAGCTCTTAACTGTCTAAACACAAAAGGGAAGGCATGCCAAAGACACGGATATACACAGAATAAAGACAGTCAATTCCTAAATAATTGAGATTTGCCAATAGCTTAACAAAGCAAATTCATATATAAATTTTTTTTTTAAGATTTTATTTATTTATTTGACAGAGATCACAAGTAGGCAGAGAGGCAGGCAGAGAGAGAGGAGGAAGCAGGCTCCCTGCTGAGCAGAGATCCCGATTCGGGGCTCAATCCCAAGACCCTGGGATCATGACCTGAGCTGAAGGCAGAGGCTTTAACCCACTGAGCCACCCAGGCGCCCCTTCACATATAAATTTTTAACTCCAAAGTCTGTCACATAAGTTTTTATTTTACCCTATTGTTACAAAGTGAGCTGGGTTACTGGCTATAAAAATTATTCTTTCCTTCCTGAGGCTACACAGGTGAGACTTTCATTACAAGTATCACTATCTATCTACTCTTATTTACTCATATATTATCAGATGTCAGAATTGAAAAATACCTCATACGAATTGGTTCAATTCCCTCCCGTTATATGAAGAGGAAACTAGGGCCCAGGGAAGTGGAAAGAGGCACCATGACAAAAATCACAATGCAAATAGGAGAGCTGGGCAGGAACCCAGGAACCCATTCACTAGATTCCAGACCCAGTGAATATTCTTTATACTTTGACAAGGCCCTGACACTGTCACCCATTCAATCACCCCTAAATAGATGACAAGGCCATTCAGTGGTTAGCAATATAAATAAGAAGTGTCAAGAACCTCTGGTTATTCGCAGATGGTCGCCAGAGAACCATGATGACGAAGAGGATCATAGAGAACAGCAACCGCCAAATGGCATCATCCACCCAAAGCTCCCGCCAATCCTACCAAAAGGGGGAGAAGTACATTTTTATACATAATCTTATCTCTTCACAAAGCCCTTGGCATAGAACAAGAATGTTATTTATTCATTCAAGTTACATTTACTAGGAGCCTGCTATGTGCTAGGCAGTGTACTAAGTGCTGGGAATAAAAAATGAATGAACAGAGTTTCTTCCCTGGTAGTGTTTAATTGTTGCTCAAGAAAAGGCACCAATTGAATGGAGCACTTCATTAAGACTTCATTATAGCTCCGAGAATATTTAGAAAGGGTTTTTATACAAGGTAAGAGAAAGTAACATTATGGTGTTTTTTTTTTAAGAGTTTCATTTTTGTTTATTTATTTTTAACAGCTTAGCTCTAGCTTCCTAAGAAATGTTACTGGCCAGTCTCTGCTCAATTCTTAAGTACATGGCTTCTGCTTAGATTAGCATTATTCATACACACTTAACATTTAGGACTCTGGATTTCTTGTTAATAATTTTTAGTTAAGGCCAAGACTGGGTTATGAAAAACTGTGATATCATTTATAATGTTCTCTCCCACTATTGGGATACAGAATCAGTCTTTTCTCCCAAAAAAATCCACAAAACAAACCTACCATACCAAGCACTGTGATAATACAAAATATTTTTAGGAGGAGAAAAGCATTCTAACCCTCAGAGTGGAGATCTAGCCCTAATCTCTTAAAAGGTATGAACCTTACCACCATCATTAACACCACTGTGTATTTTTTAAAACACTATTCATAAATGCATGTGTTTACAACTCACCGACTGACAAGTCACTATCCTGAACTTCATGGTTGTCCAGATGATAAACACAATAGATGCTAACAGGAAATGAAAAACCTGGTCAGAATACGAATGTCAGTTTTTATCCTCAAACGTTCTCTGATTCTTGTCAAGTGGAATCCCACACATCCCTAACTCTCAATATATCACAATCATTTTCTCTCACTTATTGTTAACACATTTATTCAACACAAATTTACTTAACAACTGCTATAAGCAAAGTGTACAATGTGTACCCTTGTCAACCCTTTCTATACTTAAAGAATAGTTTTACTCATCATCTCACTACTTTAGCAACCCTCAGAAGTGGGAAAGAGGGTATGAGAAACATGGCTTTTTCCAGCATTATCAATAATATGATTGTTTTCCCTTTCCTCTTTAGTATAACATTAATTTTTCTTTGCCTGGTCAGATGGAAAAAGGTTGATAAAATGACTGTAAGACAAATAGAATTATTGGTTCCAATCATAGGCCAGACCTCTCTATTCCTGGTACACAAGTCAAAAAAGGCAGGCAAATTACCCTTATGTGGGGCTATAGTCTATCCTAATGTATGTGCATAATGTATATGTTATGCATGTTTAATGACATATAAAGGCAATAAAACAGCAATGGACACTGATCTAAAATCTATATAAAATTTTTTATTTCAATAAAACCAAATAAGCAAATATTAATGTCTTCTAAAAGAAATCTAAATGCTGTATGACACAATGCTAATTTGCCTCAAAAAAAGAAGAAAGTCCCAGAAAAAGAATGGAGACAGGAGAGGGAGAGTTAAAATTATATGTAATTGATTTTCAGCTATTAAAATAAGTGGTTGTCAAACTTTTTAGAACCAAAGACCCCTTTGCGAATGTGACAAAAGTGAAAGACCCCTTCCCTAAGTGAAACACACAAAACTTTCTATGTAATTTTAGAAAGCCCATCCAAGGCCTCTCAGGTTAAGAATCTTAGTTCTAAAGGAAATGCATTTAAATAGAAGGAAGCAAGTCCCGACTTACCTGCCACTGCCAAGATAAGCGTGTTGGTAAAATGTCGGTACAAAGACAGTTTTACAATGTTCCTCCGAAGTTTTAACAGCTTCATTGTTTGAGTCAAGCTAATAAATATGTGTTTGCAGGTCAAGGAAATCAACATTCAGAAAAAAACAGTAAGCTAGTAAATTAACCCTTACATTTCTTTAAGGATCTCAGGTCATAATGACAGAGCCATGGATGCCAGGCCTTACAGCTCTTACTCTCAACTTTAAAAATACTCCAACCCCACCATTAGTTAGAAAGTCCTCATTTTCAATGAGACTTAAAGAGAAGACAGAACCAGGATAAAATGAGAATGCAAAAGAGAAGAAAAATTTAAAGGAGAAATAAAGGTAGTAAACTTTCTAGAGAAACAAAGAAAATGAAGCAAATGGAAGAAAAATGAAATAAAAATGAGTAAGAGGCAAAGCAACAGGAATTATCATCATCATCATCTCCTTTCTTCTTGTGAGGTAATGGTGTCCTAGCTAATCCAGTCTATAGTCTTACATTCATGCCTACAACCTCCCAGAGTTCTACACTCAGTCCCCTTGTGCCATGCTAAGCAACCTGCCATCATGAACTATAATGAATTACCATACGATTACAATTGGCTGAGAACCACAGGCAGGCTCAAAAGCAACAACTCTCTATTTTCAAGTCATTATCTCAAGTATAAGCTGCTGCACAAAGACAGGGGAGAGCTAATGACTACTATACACAATTATCTGCTCTTATGTTCAACTTTCAAAATGAGGAGAAGATATGAAAGCAAGTGAGCTGAAGCTCATACCTGCCTTTCAACAGAGCCCTCGCAGCTACCTAATTATTGGGTCATCTTCTTGTATGGTCTAGTCCCTCTCCTCTTCCTCTCAATATGCATAGTAGAGGTTCACAAAGATACTGACCTAGAAAAGCTTTGGCCATTTGGATGCAGGACATTTCAATTTCAAATACTTTTGACATATGAAAATCCCCTCAAATTCACAAAATTACAATTTTATTTATACTCAGCCTTTCATAATAGTCACAGTCCATCAGGACAATAATATTGCACAACTGTACATAGGACCAAATGACATTAAAAAAACAAAATAAATTTTTAAAAATCCCCAAAAGAGGGGTGCCTGGGTGGCTCAGTGGGTTAAAGCCGCTGCCTTCGGCTCAGGTCATGATCTCAGAGTCCTGGGATCGAGCCCCGCATCGGGCTCTCTGCTCTCTAGGGGAGCCTGCTTCCTCCTCTCTCTCTCTGCCTGCCTCTCTGCCTGCTTGTGATCTCTCTGTCAAATAAATAAATAAAATCTTTAAAAAAAAAAAAAAAAATCCCCAAAAGATAAAACTCCAAAAACCTGAATCCTTCCTCCAACAGGCCAAGTCCTAATAAACAAATGTTTATTCTTGAAAAGCAGGAAGATAAGATTATTCAAACAGAAGCTTGTTTGTTACCTGCTGGTTGATTTTCCTGTAAATGAAGCAAGATTTATTTCAAAGAGTAACATCTTCAAATAATCCCAAGTCAGCTTTTGAATGAGCGCATAAAACACTTAAAACTACATAAGGGTAAAATCTGCTGAATCTACTTAGAATTTTAAGAGAGTCAAACAACCTCATACAGTTCCTGAAACCATATTTTAAGAATCAAAACATTTACATAATTTTCAAAGCATTTACTAATTGCCAAGGCTGAAAGAAAGAGCAGGACCACAGCGGCCAGTGATTCTAACACAAAGTGAGATATGCAAGTAAATCCAAAACCGAAGTGAAATGCTCATTTAAAGAAAAGGCCAAAAGCTTTTTATCTTGTTCTCAGGCTGCAGTCACCAACTCTTGATGAAATTTTTTAAAATTAAAAACAAAATAACTGCTTACCTGAGCCCCCAGGTTGTTAGACTGAAAATACCCTATTCCCCAAAGTAAGGAGTGATCAACGAAACTGGCAAAAACCATTTGCAGAAAGATCAATGGAAACCCAACTCTGAGGGGAGAAAATGGACCGCCATCAAACAAGCCAATGAGAAGGATATCCACCAGCACAGGGCAGTGTCTAGGAAAGCCAAGGGGATAAAGGCCAAGGAAGCAAGATCAGTCTGGGCCTGCAGACAAAGAAAAAAAGGTGGTGAAAAAAAGATGTCTAGAGAGCACAGCGAAGAAACCAGAAAATGACTCTGCATTTACATAATCATCTAGAATGATTTTGCATTTGAACTGAAAGAAAATAAGGAATAATACTTTGTACCTATATCATTCTTCCTTTCTGACAAATAATCACACAAAATACATAGCTATAAGCATTTCATACAAACTGTTGATCACAATCTCAATACAATAAAACGTGCTACTAACTAATACAAGGCAACCACCATAGAGCTCCTAGCATGCTAAGTAAGGTCCACGTTAAGAAGTGACCACACTAAAAAAGCTTTGGTGTTACAAGCCCCCATCCCAACATATCATCTCCCATCACTGTGATTTCTGGCTACAAGTCTAAAAAGACCCTTCTCATATTTCAAAGTACTACAGGCATTAATACATAGTTATAATTTCCAGAACTGTAATACAATATAATTCTACAAATAAGAGCACATCCCAAAATAAGATGTAAGGCAAGTATCTGTCCCTGAAACTATGCTGCTTGTTTCATGAGTTTATATATATAAGGTGCTATTTATATAACCCTGATTACCCAGACATCAGGGCATTACTGAAAGGATATCCATAAAATAATACAGGCATCAATTGCTGAGAGGGCCAGGTTTACTATCAGAGCCAATGAGTAAGAAAAATACTGCAGCAGCAGAAAGAAAATGAAATTGACAGAGGGTTAGAGTTGCTAAAAGTTGAAGGAAATTACATATAGGACAGTGTGATCTGAAAAACAGTATGTATCCATAAAATGTTTTATTTAAGGGGCAATTTATTACAAAACTTACTGAGCTCAGTAAGTCAAGTTTACAGCATTTACCACCTTGAATCTAATGGGTTATTGCTGACAGTGATTTTTAAATAAATAACTACTGGAATGCCCAGTAGTTATTAATCCAGCTGGAATGACCATTCACATTAATCCAGCTCTGACAAAATTTATCATTTATATTTAGTGCTTTGCTTCCCTCCCTGACAAAGGGCATGATTTTATAATTCTTAAGAATAAAATGAAACAATTAGTTGCATTTTAGAAAAGCCTCTGAAACTCAAGTACTGATTAAGCAAAGAGCACTATCACTTTAAAACAAAAAAGAGAGGGTGCCTGGAGGGGCGGTCAGCTGAGCATCTGACTCTTGGTCTGGACTCAGATTCTCATCTCAGCGTCATGAGATGGAGCCCCTCATCAGGCTCCAAGCTCCTTGGAGTCTGCATGGGATTCTCTCTCCCTCTTCCCCTGCCCCTCCCCAACAAGCATGCACACATGCTATCTCTCTCAAATAAATAAACCTTTTAAAAAAGTATATTATTAAGCAAGATTATAATCTTTGCCACTTATACAAGAATGAGAGCCCACTGTCTAGGAGGAGGAAATGAGTAAGTAGCAATTTGTGGACAGGTGGGAAAGCATTCATTCCTGGTCACTCATTAAACTTATGAAGTTCTAACAGATTAAAAAGAAAATTCGAATTATATATACATTTTGAAAATCAGAGTTACAAATGATTTAGAAGAAATAGTAAAGAAGTCCACAGACTTTTCCAATTCACCCTCTCAAGACAAAAACAATGTTATTTGAACTGATCATTAATACTTCGATTAAGCAGTACTGACCCCAGTAACTCTGAGGACGCCTTCCATGCCAGAGAACAAAAGATAGAGGGCTCCTGCTACCACAACTTTGTGAAGAGTGACTCCAAGGCGAGGCCTAAACAGGAAGCAAAGAAAGAGCTGAGCATCAATGCCACAAACTCCAAAATAAGTTAAAAGCAATTCATTTAATTAAAATACTGGTCAATAACTTAACAGAGGTAAGTCAGACATACTTGATCTACATAAGAAAAAAAAAAAAAACTCCGAAGAACATATGGTCTTAAACCAAGTTAATAACTACTAGAACTTTAGATCTGATCCCTGGTTACTGTATCAAAAAACAAAAACAAAAACAAAAACTCATTTTATTACAGACTTCTGAAACATTCAACAGTATAATGAACCCCTCTATGTCCAACATCCAATCCCAATAACCACTAAGTTATAGTCAACTGTGCCTCATGTAAACCCCATCCACTTCCTATCCTCCCATATTATCTTCAAGCAAATCCTAGATAGTGTATCTTTAATTTGTATATATTTCAGTATGTGTTTTTAACCAACAAGGACTTTTTAAATACATAAACACAATACTGTTATCAAATCTAAAAGTTTTGATATAAGCAAATATCCTATTGCAAACCATTAGATAAACTGTACATTTGCAAGCTCAGAATCCAACAAAATATGAAGTCTTTCAAGCAGCTTCTGCTTCAAGATGCCATTCAATCAGAATCTGCATTCTGATTGATAACAAGATCTCCAAGTGATTCATTACTGCACTATGTTTGAGATGTACTGCCTTAAATCATGTCTACCTAAGTCTAAGTAATATTTGTCCTTGTATTTTTTTGTTATATGCTAGCAAAGGTCCATATGGGCAAGGATTTTTCTTCCCACTATTGTATTTTTGAAACCTAGGCCCTGGCATATAGGAGGCCCTCAAATATTTGTTAAATGAATTAAATAATTTAAAAAATGAAACCCACCCCATTTCCCTAACCCCACTGAAAACAAAACTCCTTTCAGAGAATAAGTTTAAAAAGTTAAACCCATTTCTTCAATCCCACTTAAAGCAAGACTCCTTGAAATAACTCTCTATACCCGGCTAGTTCCAATTTCTCTGCTCCTATTCTCTCTTGAACTCATTCCAGTAAAGCTTTTATCCTAGCACTTCCCTAAACCATCTTAAGGTCACTTATGTCTTCCATGTAGTTCAACCCAATGGTCATCATTTAACCCTCCTGACACAATTGCTCCCTCCGTGAAACTCTTCAGATTTGCCTCTCACCACAACGGACTTTCTCAAATTCCTCTAATTCTGTTTCACCTCACTGAATTCTAAGTAACTGAAAATGTTCAAGGGCTCCATCCTTTGATCTCTTGTCTATATACAATTACTTCCTCAGTGACTGCATCCCATTCTCATGGCTTTAGGTAAACATACATATCCTGATGACTCCCAAATTCGTATCTCTACCCCACTTCTACCCCTATTCTTTATTTCCCTATTTGGTTATCTAACTGAACTCCTAATTTTGCCTCTACTCCAAACTTATTTCACTTACGATTCTCCTTAACTTATAAATTCCATCCTTTCATTGCTCAGACCAAAATAGTTGGCATCATCCTTGATTCCTCTTCTCATTCACATCACACAGTTGATCTACCAGAAAATTCCATTGGCTCTACCTTCAAAATATATACAGAATCTGACCACATCTTACCATCTCTTCCTCTAGGTATACATATGGTCCCCACACCACCTTTAGATCTCTGTGTAAATGTCACTAAGTGAAGCCTTCCTTGGCAACCCTATTTACAACTATAAGCTTCACTTCTTGCCTAGCACTCTCTACACCTTCCCCTGCTTTATCTGCTCCATAGCACTTACCACTGACATATTATTTACTTACTTATCTGTATCTTTGTCCCCTCCCTCCACAAATGTAAACTCCAAGTCTTTTGTTTACTTGCTGTGTCCTCAGCACCTAGAATAATATCTAGTATACAGAAGGCACTCAATAAAATTTTTGAAAAATAAATTATTTTCAGACTTTTTTCAGACTGAGTGACATTCTCATAAAAAAATTGATTTTAAAAACATTTTGAAGATTAAAAGTCACTCTACGTTCACCCTAAAAATTTGATGTTTTAACATCATTCACTACATTGCTGATTTTCCTACAAATGCTCGAGTTCTCAGAAGTGAAATGAAACACTTAACATTTTTTAGATACCTGTCTTACTGCAAACTATTTCTTATATCAATTCTTTCAGAATTACAATAGGAACCTACAATACTGTTTCAATTTAATCAGTGTTTTAATATGTCCTTCCATATAAAAAGTCCATACTTACTTAACTATGCCATACCCCAGGCTGACTATAATGACCAGGGTTCGAGCCAGTGAGCGTTTAACTGCTGAAAGCAGCTCTGCAAGGATCAGGGCACCTTGGACTATGAGAAAGAAAGAAAGAAAGAGTGCTATAATCTAGGTTTGGGAAAAGGTGTGACTCTAGAACCAGAATGTGGATCTAGATAACTAATGCTCTTCAGAATAAGCATTGGGATTAGTCCTGTTCAAAGAAAATACCTCTCCTGCAATTCTTCTAAGTAAGTACACATGCTGATTTCACTTACCTTGCTCATGTGAATAGCAGTCTGGGTGTGCTTGAATCACCTTTCCTCCCTAACCCCACTTCACGAAAACCTCAGCAGAATACCTCACCTACATGGACAGTTTATAACACCTACAGAACTTTTCTCCATTTTTAAAAACTGGGGAATACAGATTGAAAAAATACATATACACTGAAAAGCACAAAACACAAACACACACACAGTTTTCAAATTATTTTCACATCTACTACTTTCAAGCCTTTTCAAAGATAGGGAAAGCTCTAATTAGTAATCTTACATCATCATCATTCATAATCAAATGGTCTGATGAGAGAGAACCAAAGCTATCACAAAAAACTTCAGCAAAATAATTCATCATTAGCTGTTTACTTCAGTGAACCATAAACACCTTCCTATTTTCTTGGTATTACTGTGCTTAACCAATTCTTAGAGGTACTTCTCCCTCATATTTTAAAATCTCTGAAATCAAAGTAGGTCAATGGCATCTTACTATTAAGTTGGCAGTATTTATTTCTCTCCTTAGATGTATAATAATGGTACCTTAAAAATCATGGCAACTGAGATGCAGCGATGGTGATAATCTTATCCAAAATGGCCAGTGCTGCTGTAACTTGTGTGAATCTATTTCAGCACAATTCACTCTTAAATCACTGAACCCGTAAATTATAAGATTAAAAACAAAAGTTATGATCATAGTGATTATGCTTAAGTTATTCTAATAATTAAGAAACTGAAAAGTTAAACCCACTTAACGACTGCTGACATGAGGAAAACTCACGTCTTACCTGCCAATCACTCACAAGACAGGCGAACACTCTTTGGTTACATACCTGATTCGCCTTTATATCGGATGTTCTGAAATTCTGCATAGAAAACAGCTTTCTCGAGCATTCCCAGGAAGATGACAGCACCAATCCAAAACTGGATTCTCAGGAGATCTCTCCAATAGCAGGCAGACCATGCCAGCCACAGAACACCAAACAGGACATATACAATACACATCACCATGAAAAACTGTCATCCAAATGGGTAAGAAATAAAAAAGGAGGATTAGGGCCAAGAGCCAATTTCGAATACACAGTCCTAAACTATATAAAAAATATATATATTCTACCTCCTACTTTAAGAGTTATTATTTCATTTCTTTGAAGTTCAATACTAACACAAAAAAATTATCTCCTCTTGCACAGAGAGAAACTACCTAAGGACCTATGCTCAAGAGTAACCGTTCTTCTGCATTTAAAGTGTCTTTTCGGCAAGGGAAGCAAGGGCAAAAATGAACTATTGGGATTTCATCAGGATCAAAAGCTTTTGCACAGCAAAGGAAACAGTTAACAAAACCAAAAGACAACTGACAGAATGGGAGAAGATATTTGCAAACGACATATCAGATAAAGGGCTAGTGTCCAAAATCTATAAAGAACTTAGCAAACTCAACACCCAAAGAACAAATAAACCAATCAAGAAATGGGCAGAAGACATGAACAGACATTTCTGCAAAGAAGACATCCAGATGGCCAACGGACACATGAAAAAGTGCTCCACATCACTCGGCATCAGGGAAATACAAATCAAAACCACAATGAGATACCACCTCACACCAGTCAGAATGGCTAAAAGTAACAAGTCAGGAAATGACAGATGCTGGCGAGGATGTGGAGAAAGGGGAACCCTCCTACACTGTTGGTGGGAATGCAAGCTGGTGCAACCACTCTGGAAAACAGCATGGAGCTTCCTCAAAATGTTGAAAATAGAACTACCCCATGACCCAGCAATTGCACTACTGGGTATTTACCCTAAAGATACAAACGTAGTGATCCGGAGGGGCACGTGCACCCGAATGTTTATAGCAGCAATGTCTACAATAGCTAAACTATGGAAAGAACCTAGATGCCCATCAACAGATGAATGGATAAAGAAGATGTGGTATATATACACAATGGAATACTATGCAGCCATCAAAAGAAATGAAATCTTGCCATTTGCGATGACGTGGATGGAACTAGAGGGTATCATGCTTAGCGAAGTAAGTCAATCGGAGAAAGACAACTATCATATGATCTCCCTGATATGAGGGAGTGGAGATGCAACATGGGGGGTTAAGGGGGTAGGAGAAGAATAAATGAAACAAGATGGGATTGGGAGGGAGACAGACCATAAGTGACTCGTAGTCTCACAAAACGAACTGAGGGTTGCTGGGAGGAGGGGGGTTGGAAGAAGGGGGTGGGGTTATGGACACTGGGGAGGGTATGTGCTGGGGTGAGTGCTGTGAAGTGTGTAAACCTGGCGATTCACAGACCTGTACCCCTGGGGATAAAAATATATTATATATTTATAAAAAATAAAAATAAAAATAAATAAATTAAAAAACAAAACAAAAAAATTAACAGAAAACAAAAACAAAGATTTTAAAAAGTTTTTTTTTTAAATGAAGGTATTGTTAAGATAAACTAGCTTAAAAGTGTTAAAAGAGGAAAGAGTAAAAGTTAAAAAGAAAAAAGCAAAATAAAAAAAAAATAAAAAAATAAAGTGTCTTTTCAGCTCACAATCTGAAAGTATGTAAATGAGGAGAACACTAAAGAGCAAAGAAGACATGGCAGGGTGAAGATAGACCTAAAGGCAATGAAACACAATGTGGGAAAACTATGAAAGGGAAAAGAAGAAATGAACAAAGGAAATTTGAAAACAGTGAGGCTATTCCAATAGACACAAACACACACATGATGAAGTGTCATCATTTAGTTACTTTAAATGCAATCAGAAACTACAGGAAGGTAAGAAGTGCCCCACTTTGAATTCTAGACAGAATATGAGATCTGAAATTATCTTTGAGGTACTTTCCAATTCTGAAATTGCACAAGTTATCAACTCTTCATTCTACAGATGAGAGGAGGCAGAGTCATCTACTGACATTCTCAAGGTCATATTTTAGTAAGAAGTACAAAACTACAAAGCAGTGTTTTCTGAACCGTTCAGGAACAATTCTTGAAAGAAGAATATTGACACAAAACATGAACAATCTTTAGTTAAACTCATGTAATGTTAAGGTTAAGAATATAAGTTCACTTACAATCATCAAAGGATATTCTTCAAGCGTGAGGTATTCATAGGGACCCTTCACTTCAACAGTCACTGCCAAAAACACAGTCCTCAAAATTAATGTTAAGGATGCAGAAATTAAACAAAAACATTGCATAAGATTTGGCTGGTGAAATTTAATGAAAATTCCACTGGGTTATCTACTTTTAACCATTTCAATTCTGGTGAATATTACATTTATAGAGCACTCTGAAATTCCTGAGGTGTTCTCATGATTCATGCTGTGTCCCAGACAGGCCTCCATACTCCTGCTCCCAACGGTATATTAAGTGGAAAAGTCCTTCGTTCCCAGACACACATCCTGGAAAGACTAGATTTAAGTTGCGGCTCCTGGGTGGCTCAGTGGGTTAAAGCCTCTGCCTTCCGCTCAGGTCATGATCTCGGGGTCCTGTGGGATCGAGTCCCGCATCGGGCTCTCTGCTCAGTGGGGAGCCTGCTTCCCCCTCTCTCTGCCTGCCTCTCTGCCTACTTGTGATCTCCCTCTCTTTGTGTCAAATAAGTAAAAAAAAAAAATCTTTTTTTTTTTTTATATTTTATTTATTTATCTGACAGACAGAGATCACAAGTAGGCAGAGAGGCAGGCAGAGAGAGAGGAGGAAGCAGGCTCCCCACTGAGCAGAGAGCCCGATGCGGGACTCGATCCCAGGACCCCGGGATCATGACCTGAGCCGAAGGCAGAGGCTTTAACCCACTGAGCCACCCAGGCGCCCCAATAAAAAAAAAATCTTAAAAAAAAAAAAAAAAAAAAGACTAGATTTAAGTTATTTCTTCCATAAACCCCCAACTGGAACCACAGCCTGGCTCCTCTAAATTCCAAACGTATTTCATATGTACTTTTTCTTACAATACATCAATGATGTGCTTTGAAAAGTATAGGATTTCATTCCTTCTTTCTGCTATTCTCTTTGTCTTCTATCTAACCTTACCTATATTCTCCTATTTATTACTTTTTTTTTACCTACATCAATTTTATGGGACTTTGCTACATTAATGTTTAATTCTCGTTAAATACTTAACAACAACAAACTGGTTAATTTTTACAAAGTATTTAATAAGAATCTGAAAGACAGATCTACCTTACTGAAGCAAAACTACGACTTTTAAAATTGTAATTGAGGGGCGCCTGGGTGGCTCAGTGGGTTAAGCCTCTGCCTTCAGCTCGGGTCACGATCCCAGGGTCCTGGGATCGAGCCCCGCATTGGGCTCTCTGCTCAGCGGGGAGCCTGCTTCCTCCTCTCTCTCTGCCAGCCTCTCTGCCTACTTGTGATCTCTGTCAAATAAATAAATAAAAATTTAAAAAAATAAAATAAAATTGTAATTGATAAAACTATCTTAGGTCTGATTGATAAATACTTAAGTGAGAAGTGTTAGTCTGTGATGACAGACTAACAATTGCTTAGTCAACAAAAATTTCCTAGTTTTTACCAAGCGAAAGGAACATGTGATTATTAAAAGTAAACCAAAAAAAAAAAAAAAAAGTAAACCCAATCCAACATTCATATGAACAAAAGGAGCACCCCATAACAGCAATCATAAAAATTTTAAGCACGTTGATTATTAAACCTACACCTTCTTAATTTAATAAAACAGGAAACAAAATAATTAGTAAATATTTATTATATCCTTTGCTTACTCTACGCCAAGGGTCAGCAAAATACAGCACATGGGCAAATGTGGTCACCCACTTTATTTATAAAAAGTTTCACTGGAAAACAGCCACATCCATTCACTTACATATTATCTATGGTTGCAAATTTACACAACAATGGTAGAGCTGGGTGGCTGTGGTAGAGAGAACATTTACTATATGGCTCTTTAAGAAAATCTGCCTATATTTTTCCACAAATACCCTGTGAGAGAGAATCTAGAGGATGAAGCAAAAGAAGCAATGGCTAGTTCTCAGGGACTGCTGACATTCAGGAATGTGGCCACAGAATTCTTCCAGAAGGAGTGGGTATGCCTGAACCACACTCAGTGGCAACTATACAGGGATGTGATGTTAGAAAACCATGGAAACCCCCTCTTCTTGGGTCTCACTGTGTCAAAGCCAGACCTGATCATGTTTCTGAATCAAGAGAAGCAGTCTGGGATGTGAAAAGAAAGGAGACAGGAGCCTTCCATCCAGAGGGACATCTACTATCCAAGATTATCAAGTTCTTAGATTTCTCTAGGGATTCTGCTTCAGCTTGTGGTGGTCCACAGTGAAGACCAGGAGACTCTCCTTGGAGTGTAAGAGCCTACATAATTAGAAAGCTTCTTTGCTGCTGTGAGGACCCTGGGGAAATCTCCCTATTTCTGAAAAACTCTATGCTAAGCACTTGGTAAATTCTGTTTTTCATCATGGGAGAAGTAAGTCAGGGCAGTTGCATGCACACTGGGGTTTTGTGCAGAAATTCCTGGAACACTGAAGACAGATTTCTAACATTTTCTGGTTTATGTTTTCCAATGTCATGGAGGCTTTAACTGTAATCTTATAAAATTGAGACTCCATAACTTCATCAGATAACAAAGCACCTTCCTAAAATGAGAAAATGTATGGTTTTATTTCCCTTCAAAAGTTTTTTTTTCTTCATATTAGCTAATACAGAAATTTCCACTCTCTATATTCCATTCCTCAAATGGTGAATTAATGTAATGTTTCTGTTTCTTAGAATTCCTACATAAATAATGCTATTGGGAAACTAGCACATTTAGAACTCAGAACTTGTAGCCTTTACTAATAAGGTCTCAGTTATTACCTAAATCAAAAAAAAATTGGCTAAAAAAAAAGAAAAGAAAGAAAATTTGGCTAACACTTGCTCTATGCCAAAATATAAACTAAATTTACTAAGCACTTACTATGTGACACTCATTAGAGAAAAAAGAGGAGATAAAAAGATGAATGTTTCCCACCAGCTCGCAGAAAACCAGCTAGAAGGGAGAGAAAGTAGGAAAGCAAGACAGAGAACCCCCCAACATATGCTTTCTCTCTCGTGCTTGCTCACTCTCAAATAAATAAAATCTTTAAAAATAAATAAATAAAGGGGCGCCTGGGTGGCTCAGTGGGTTGAACCTCTGCCTTCGGCTCAGGTCATGATCCCGGGGTCCTGCGATCGAGCCCCACATCGGGTTCTCTGCTCGGCGGGGAGCCTGCTTCCCCTTCTCTCTCTGCCTGCCTACTGTGATCTCTCTCTCTGTCAAATAAATAAATAAAATCTTTAAAATAAATAAATAAATAAATAAATAAAAATAAAGTACCTTCTTATCTCCAAACAATGGATGGATAAAACAAAACAAGGACATAAGTTCAAAAACAAGATATACACCTCCAAATATCAAAACTGAACAGAAACTCTGAACAGTGTATGACACTGAAGCTATGGTCATTTTGACTCTGGGCCTGAAAAGCAAGCTATGATAGTCAGGAGTGTAGTTCCTATGGGATCACCAAAATTAGTAGGATTCTAAGGAAAACCAGGAGCAGAGCCAGATTTGATGCATGAAGAGGCTGAAGTGGAACGGAACAGGACTTCTTTTCCATCCTTTTCCAAGAGGGAATGTTGAAAGTAAATGCTGGCAACTGCTGCTTTAGACTATTATTCTTTAGAAAGCTATGGGCCTAGAAATACAGGAATACCCCTTCATCTTGGGTCCAGAAAGTATGCAGGGTCACCCATTGGTTTACCTAGAACTGCTATATCCCATATAACTATAGAGTATAAGACCCATTTCTGGTTTGGGAATTAAAAGCATTCAACACAACAATCTACAAAAAACAAAAATTTTAAATTGAATCAAACAAAAGAAAGAGTGAAACAGAAAAGAAAGACACAGTTGGGAAAACTAATAAAAGTTGGTTTGCTAGGATAAAAATATAGTAAAATACAATTCTACAAAGTTTTTTTAAAAGTTAAAAGGGAAGATAAAAGCAGTAAGAATGAAAAAACCTACAGATACAGATTTTTTGGTAAAGAAATACTACTCAGGGGGCGCCTGGGTGGCTCGGTGGGTTAAGCCGCTGCCTTCGGCTCAGGTCATGATCTCAGAGTCCTGGGATCGAGCCCCGCATCGGGCTCTCTGCTCTCTAGGGGAGCCTGCTTCCTCCTCTCTCTCTGCCTGCTTGTGATCTCTCTGTCAAATAAATAAATAAAATCTTTAAAAAAAAAAGAAAAAAAGAAAAAGAAATACTACTCAGGGGCACCTGGGTGGCTCAGTGGGTTAAGCCTCTGCCTTCGGCTCGGGTCATGATCTCAGCATCCTGGGATCGAGCCCTGCATCGGGCTCTCTGCTCAGCTGGGAGCCTGTTCCCCCCGCCACCTCTCTCTCTCTGCCTGCCTCTCTGCCTACTTGTGATCTCTCTCTTTCTCTGTCAAAAAAATAAGTGGAATTTAAATAAATAAATAAATAAATATAAATAAATTAAAAAAAAAAAGAAATACTACTCATAACTTTATGCCAATAAAATCTGAAATCTTGAATGATATGGACAATTTCTTAAAAACAAAAAAAAAACATCGATTCAAATAAAAACAGAAAAATTTAAAAAAGAATTACTATTAAAAAAGAAAATTAGGGGCACCTGGGTGGCTCAGTGGGTTAAAGCCTCTGCCTTTGGCTCAGGTCACGATCCCAGGGTCCTGGGATCGAGCCCCATGTCAGGCTCTCTGCTCAGCAGGGAGCCTGCTTCCCTCCTCTCTCTCTGCCTGCCTCTCTGCCTGCTTGTGCTCTCTGTCTGTCAAAAAAAATAAATAAAATCTTAAAAAAAAAAAAGAAAGAAAGAAAATTACAGTCTTTTAAAATCTATATAAAGGAGGAAAAAAAGAACATCAGGCCAAAACACTATTATAAGTTCTACGAAACAGTCAAAAAATGGATAATCCTACCCATACAAAAACTACTCTACAGAATTTTGTAATAGGGGATATTCTCCAATTCATTGTATAAGACTAGTATAATCTGGATGCCAAAACCTATAGATGACAGTATGTGAAAAGAAAATTATAGGCCAATCTTACTATGAGCAAAACTTCCAAATACAATTGTATAAAACAGAAGTCAGCTATGTATATATATGTGTGTATATCAAGACCAATACTGGCATCTCAGAAATTCAAGAATGGGTTTTTCCTTTTTTTTTTTTTTTAAGATCTTATTTATTTATTTGAGAGAAAGAGAGGGAACATGAGTGGGAAAGGGGCAGAGGGAGAAGGAGAAGCAGTCCCCGCTGAGCAGGGAACCCAACACTGGGCTTGATCCCAGGGACCTGGGCTGAAGGCAGACACTTAACCTACTGACCCACTCAAGTGCCCCCAAGAATGGTTTAACATTAGAAAAACTGGTTAATATAATGCAACACATTAACAGATTAAAAATGGGGGAATCTACATGATCAATTTAATCAATACAATCAAAGCATTTGATAAAACTGAGCACTCATTCTCCATAACAAAAAAAAAAGGCATAAAAATACACTTAGTAAATGAGGGGGGGAAAAAATCCTAACCAAACACAGAATATTCTGAAAAGTTCACAGTGAACACAATTAATGGTGAAATGCACTAAGGGTGCCAATAAAGTCAGTAACAAGATAAGGATGATCATCATCATTGTTTCATTCAATATTCTACTCAAGAAAGGAGGGGAGGGAAGAAAACTGCAAAGGTGGAAGAAACATAAAATAGAAACTAAAGAAAATAAGACTGGTTAGTTAAGTGACCACAAAATTCCAAGAGACGATGACTCCAGGAACTGGGTAAGAATAGAAAGGAAAACACTAAGAAAACCTGAGACACTAAAAACTTAACAAAGTCAATTAAATTCAAAAATTTCCAAGTTTTGAGTTGGTAACCAAGTTCTGACAAGTCAAGTTGAGAATACTGAGAACAAATACCAATTAAGAATCTTAAAAGCAGGAGGATCAAATGACGGAAAATGAAATCTGGTATCTATAATACATAACAAGAAAGCGTAAGTGAAGTGCCTGAAACTATGTCTGGTACACAACACACTACTTCTTCTTCTTCTTCTTTTTTTTTAAAGATTTATTCATTTGCTAGACAGAGAGAGAGGGAGCACAAGCAGGGGAAGCAGCAGACAGAAGGAGAGGGGGAAGGAGGCTCCCCACTGAGCAGGAAGCCCCACCAGGAGCTTGATCCCAGGACCCTTAATGGACTGAGCCACCCTCACAACAAACATTCTTAATTATTCCCTCCCTTACAGCAATTTTACACTACTAATCACGCATGAAACAACTAGATAATATGAATGGTACAAAGGAACAAAATGTACTTACTGGTAAAAAGATTACTGAGTGAATTTTCTTTTGAGGATTCCTTTGAGGATGAAATGCCAATATGTACAATAAAAATGTATGGTGCATCTTGCCAAGTTTTCAGTGGATCATGCATTGCCTGGGAAAAAAAAAAAAAAGACATCAAATCTATAAGTCTTAAGAACTAAGAACATGTGTCAATATGAAAATCTTCTTCCAGAATGTGCCTAGAAACATAGCTGAGTTCTTCACTTTCATTCATTAAAATAGCAGGTACAACAGAACAAACAGGCCTGTAGTGCATAAAGTACGTCAGACTACAAATTATTATATGACAGGACATTTTAGATCTTGTGCACAAAAATCATGTATTTAGCATATTTTTTTAACAAGGAAAACCTCAGCTAAATATCACTAAATTGAATGTTTCATTAAGCCATGCTAGGATACTTGGTTATATTTTACATAGATAAAGTAAGGAGATTTAAATCACCTCAAAACAAAAAACACCCATGATGCTGACAGTGAATTCTATTATAAACACTAACTCCTGAATTTAATTTCCTTTGTTCAATGTCCTTCTCAAGACTACCAGAATTTCTAGTGAAAAGCACTCACATTTTTATCAAAAATTTAATCATGGCTGGGGCGCCTGGGTGGCTCAGTGGGTTAAGGCCTCTGCCTTCGGCTTGGGTCATGATCCCAGGGTCCTGGGATCGAGCCCCGCATCGGGCTCTCTGCTCAGTGGGGAGCCTGCTTCCCTTCCTCTCTATCTCTGCCTGCCTCTCTGCCTACTTGTGATCTCTCTCTTTCTGTCAAAAAATAAAACCTTAAAAAAAAAAAATTTAATCATGGCTAGTCTATGTGGAATCATTGTCTGTCAAAGTAAAGGAAGTGGAGGTAACGGCCTCCATGTATACAGAACAAGTTACTTGGGAAGAATCTGTTTCAAGACCAGTTACTCATAGCCCAAGCAAAAAGCTTTCAAAGGATTTGTTGTCATACTTACTAGCAGACTATGGACCCTCACAAACACAATACTAAAACACAAAGTTAAAGGAGAAAATTATTGGCTTCTTCCTTGTGTGAAAGGAGGTATCACTGCTTAGACTTACAATTTATTATCTTCTGGTCTTAAAATTAAAAGAAACTTTTACCGAGACACCTCTGGGTAAGTGTCATCGATCTATGAAATCCCTCAAAGTGGATAACAGAGTTTACATATTTATGTGTTTTCCTGTGGAGCCACAGGTTGTCTCAAAAGTTCAAATTATCCTACAACCCAAGAAAAGGCCAAAACAAGAGTTCAAAAATTATCTTCCATGCCCAAATCACAAGTGTCAAAGTAGATTAAATGATTCTACAGCTATAATTCATTTACTAGGTTATCTTAGTAACTTAAGAACATAAATGCCATACTGAATCACATATTGTTTTATCTCTGCCTGAAGGCCTCTTTCTGACAAAATTAAGGAGTTATTTATGAGAAAAATTTAAAGCTTCAAAGTTATAGGTACATCATGTCCTTTACCCAGAATTAACTGAATCTTCCCTGAACGTATGTGTGCATTAACCAATAAAACTTAGTTTGGTGTAATAAGCTGCTCTGGTATTAATTCTATACACCTTAAAACTGCCTCTTACAAATTTTAGAAGGGACTCATTAATTCTCACATTCCAGGATTTGACAAAGTTTCCATCTAACCCTGGGATATATATTATTTTGAGCCTGTAAAAATAACCATATGCCAAGTTTTGACTTCGTAACCAGGCTTTGACAAGTCTAAAGTCTAGTTCAGAATACTGAGAACATAATACCAATTAAGAATCTTAAAAGAGGGGCGCCTGGGTGGCTCAGTTGCTAAGCGTCTGCTTTCGGCTCCTGTCATGATCCCAGGGTCTTGGAATCGAGCCCCACATCGGGCTGTCTGCTCAGCAGGGAGCTTGCTTCTCCCTCTCCCACTCCCCTTGCTGTGTTCCCTCTCTCACTGTGTCTCTCTCTGTTAAATAAATAACTCTTAAAAAAAAAATCTTAAAAGATATGCCAGGCACTCTGACAGAGGTTTAACATTTATTATAGTCCTTAATCCTCACAACCACCACGTATGATAGGTACTACTATTAATTAGCTCCTTCATAACTGTCCTTTAAGAAGTGAATGGATAGGAGTGCCTGGGTGGCTCAGTGGGTTAAAAGCCTCTGCCTTCAGCTCAGGTCATGATCTCAGGGTCCTGGGATCGAGCCCCACATTGAGCTCTCTGCTCAGCGGGGAGCCTGCTTCCCTTCTTCTCTCTCTGCCTGCCTCTCTGCCTACTTGTGATCTCTGTCAAATGAATAAATAAAATCTTCAAAAAAAAAAAAAAAAGTGAATGGATAAAATAAACTGTGATACATTCAAGTAATGGAATATTATTTAGCACTAAAAGGAAATGAATTATCAAGCCATGAGAATGCATGGAGAAACCTTAAACTCCCAATACTGAGTGAGAGAAGCCAATCTGAAAAGGCTATATATCACACAATTTCAACTATAAAACATTCTGGAAAATGCAAAACAATGGAGACAGTAAAACAACAACAGAAAACAATCAGGGTGCCTGGGTGGCTCAGTCAGTTAAGCATCTGACTCTCGATTTCAGCTCAGGTCATGATCTCAGGGTATGAGATTGAGCCCCCTGTGGGGCTCCACACTCAGCAGGGAGTTTGCTTGAGATTCTCTCACCCTTTCTCTCTGCATAACGCCCCCCCAAAATAAATAAATCAATAAATCTTTAAAGAAAAAAATCAATGACTGCCAGGGGCTTGAAGGGAAGGAGAGATGACTAGGTAGAGGGAGCACTGAGGATTTTTAGGGCAATGAAACTATTCTCTATATTATAATGGTATATATCGGTCATTTTACATTTGACTAAAAACAAACGCTATGTAACACAAGGAACTAACACTAATGTAACTATGGACTTTGGTTGATAATAACGTGTCAATGTTGATTCATCAACTGTAACAAATGTGTCACACTGGCTGGTGCAAGATGGGGGGGGTCTGATTGTGCGTCTATGAAGGAGCTATGTGGGACCCCCGCCCTTTGCTCAATTTTGTTATGAATCTAAAGCTGCTCTAAAAAAGGAAATCTACTAATTTAAAAAACATTACAATGGTAAATATATCACATTACTGCTTAAATCAAACCATAAAACTGAATTAATAGAAACATTAATACTTCTTAGGGAGAAAAGACAGAGAAAAGCCCCTTTGTCTAAAAAACTTGTTTTATCAGAGCTTTAAAAAAAGGAGGTGGTGCTGAACTTGTGAGTACCCTTTAAATAGAATTATTAGGGGCACCTGGGTGGCTCAGTTGGATAAGGATCTGCCTTCAGTTCGGATCATGTTCCCAGGGCGTTGGGCTCAAGCCCCATGTCGGGCTCCCTGCTCAATGGGGAGTCTGTTTCTCCCTCTCCCCCATTCTTGTTCTTTATCTCAAATAAATAAAATCTTTTTAAGTAAGTAAATAATAAATAAACAAAAATAGTATTATTAAAGTATTCTCCTCTTAGGCCCAATTTTCAGGAAGAATGACCAAAGCACAGATAAATCTCTAACTTTTTATTATAATCTGACTAAATATCTCTAAATAAATACTACTTGTGATATTCATCAGGGTCATCTTCCAGCCAGCTTTAATCACTAGTAACAGGGCTCAAGCCTTGAGCAAATTTTAGAAGTATGCTATGCTCTGAGGGTGCCTGACTGATCAGTTGATGAAAAATGTGACTCTTGATCTTCGAGTTCTGAGTTCGAGCCCATTGTTGGGTGCAGAGAATATTTAAAGGGGCACCTGGGAGGCTCAGTGGGTTAAAGTCTCTGCCTTCAGCTCAAGTCATGATCCCAGAGTCCTGGGATCGAGTCCTGCATCGGGCTCTCCGCTTGGCAGGAAGCCTGCTTCTCCCTCTCCCACTCCCCCGTGCTTGTGTTCCCTCTCTTGCTGTGTCTCTCTCTGTCAAATAAATAAATAAAATCTTAAAAAATAAAAAAAAAATAATAAAATAAAATACAGTATAAAATCTTTTAAAAAAATAAAATCATTAAAAAAAATGCTATACACAAAAGGCCACCAAATAAAAGCACAATTATAAACAACTTATCTGCATACAAATAAATGTTTAACTTCAATAATAATTTTTTATAAATACAATTTACAACAATTTAATCTGACAAACTGCATAAAATCTGTTTTAAATTATAACAGTCATTGTTGTGAGCACAGAGGGAAACTCAATCCTCTTTTCTTAGGACAATAAATTGCTGTTATTTTTCTCTAGAATAAAATACAAACATATAGAACAAAATAAAAACATATAGAACAAAATATACATAGAACATACAGAATAGAACAAAATATTAAAAAAGAACTTATAAATTATAAATTGTGCATACACTTGGAACCAGCAATTCAATCTCTAGGAATTTAGCCTAAGAAAATAAATGTGCTCAGGGTACCTGGGTTGCTCAGTGAGTTGAGCATTTCCTACTCTTGTTCTCAACTTGGTCTTGATCTCAGAGTCATGAGTTCAAGCCCCAGTGCGGAGCCTACTTTAAAAAAAAAATGTGCACAAAGATATAGCAACACATTAGGAATGGGACCTTATCTATAATAGGGAAAATTTGGAAACAAAACAATATACATTAATCAGGAGTTAAGTATAAAAATCATGGTGAAATGAAAAAGTATGCAACCATTAGAAAAGTGAAATAGCACTCAATGTACCAATCTAGTAAGTGAAAACAAAAAATTATATAGCAGTATATATAACATAATCTCACTTTGGTCAGTAAATATCTGTTCTGTGTAATCACACTGAACTGCTAGAAAATAAAATTACAAGGGATTTACTTTTAAGTGTATAGAAGCAACATGTGTACCAACATGGAAGTCTTTTGAAACCAGAATATAAAAATTTTTTTAAATATTCAAAATTAATCACTGAAGTGCTATTTAAAATTGCAAGATAATGAAACACATAAATGTCTGACAATGGATCGTTTGCTAACAAATTGTATGAATACAATAAAATACTCTGCAGAGACCTAAATAATGATGTCATATAATATTTACTGAACTAGAAGGAAGTACATGTTATATTGCCAAGCTAAAAAAATGCTACAACGTAATATATATTGTAGGATTCCCATTATTAAACAAATAGAAGTATGTTCAGAGACAAAAGATTATAAAATAAATATATTTATACTCTACAGTGTGTGGTAGTATTAGATGATTATTTCTTCTTTGCATTTATGTATGTTTTCTAAATTTTTGATAGTGAATATATGCAGGTTAGCAATAAGAAAAAAAAATTTTTTTAATGAAGTCTGCAGTGCCAAACTCATCTTTAGGTTAAAATTCCATAAACTATAAATCGGGGCAGAGAAAGGGGGGACACTTCCAGAAGAGCAGAATGAGGACCTCTGAAAAGACACTTATCCCTCAAAGCAACAAGAACATGGGCAAAATGATCCAAATCAACATTTCTGCCAAGTCCAGAAATTAGCTAAAAACTTGCGCCAACCCTAAATGTGTTTCCTTAAGAAAAACAGTTGGGTGTCATTAAGAAAAACAAGCTGGTAGTGTTTTTGTTCATCCTAATCCCAAGTCCCTCTTCCAAACACCTTAAAACCAAAGTTCTCACAACTGGTAACGGCTGTGAAAAACAGCAGTTTGGCAGCCACTGGAAAAAACAGAACCGGTTTGGAGCTGCCCTCAAACCCAGTGGCAGAGCTCTCTGGCAGGTGCTGAAAATCTCCTTTCCCAGGTCTTATCTTTTTATATGACCTAATCCATCCTCATATAGGATCCTATACTCAAGGCACCATCAAAGGCACTCAGCAGCAACTGTGACAGATCATAACTGCTCCCCTCCCTCAGCTGATGTTAGCAGGCTGGGCTATCAAGAGGCTGACTAAAAACTTAAAAGGAAAGACTGGAAATGAGATGACCACAGGTGGTCTCAAGGGTGACAAGGGTGGGAAGAGAAGTGACTGCTAATGGCTTTCCTATAATCAAAACAGTGACTTTCTGGGGTGACAAAGATGTTCTGGAATTAGATCCTGATTGGTGGTTGCACAACTTCTGAATATACTATATAAAACACTGAATTATAGCTTTTAACCCACTGAGCCACCCAGGCGCCCCTGAATTATAGCTTTTAAAAGCTGAATTCTGAGATATGTATGTCTGAATAAAGTCATTATAAAATTTAAAACTTTAATCGGTTTTGTAAAAAGCATGATCCAACATGGTTAACAGTCTTATTTCCTCTATATTTTTAAGAGATAAAGTTTTGAGGAATTAGTTATTGTGAATTAGAAAGTGAATTATGAAAATAAAGGCATATTTATCATTTTCAACCTTATTTCAGCTTTCCAAACTGTCTTCCAGTTATACTCTATCATAAGATAACTTTAGACGTAGTTTGAGGTTCTTTCTTAAAAGGTTCTTCCTATTTATGAGTCACATCTATTGGCTGATGATTACAAAAAACAACAGACTTTAGCAAATAGGGAAAATACAGGAATACATAGAAGAAAATAAAAATTGCTCATATTATCCACAACAACCATTACTAACACTTGGGGTTTAAAGGGTTTTTTTGTTTTTTTGTTTTTTGTTTTTTTTTTTTAGTAATCTCTACACCCAATGTGGGATATGAACTGAGAACCCCCTCAAGAGTCATACACTCTACTGACTGAGCCAGGCAGGCGCCTCAGCATTTTGTGTTTAAACTTCCATTCTTAAATTTCTTTTTTAAATGGTACAATATCAATAAGATTCAAAACACATAAACCTAAGAAACTGAAATATGTGTTCATTGTTCCAAATTAGCTACTATACTTACAGTTTTGTCTCCACTAAGAGTAAGATTTGTTCCATTCTCCTTAGCCTTTAAACATTAAAAAAAGGAAAAGAAAATTAATTCAGAATTTTTACTTCACTCTCAGAAATACATAACAATGCAAACAATTACCTCCTGTTTTTCTCCTAAGAGAGGCAATCGATGTACAAAATCCCCAGAAAAGCTCTATGAAAGAAATAGAACATTAAAATTAAAGAAGTATAGTAGTAAAACATAGTTCAAAATCCACAGAAATGGTTAAAGCAAAACTTATTTTAACAGTAAAAAAATATGGCACTGACAGACAAAAGATTTCCAATGAACCATAAACAAGTGAGTAAACTAAACTGAGAACTAAAAAATAGTATCAGACTAAACTGGCCATTCAATTTTTCTATTAAGAATTAAAGACCTTTAAGAATTAAAAAAACCCTTAAACAGAAGGTATATGCTTAGTATGAGAAAGCTTATGGTTCCCTCTCCTGCTACAGTTGAGAAAAATATGGCTACATGTTATAAAGCTTCAGATGGAGAAATGGGATTTGAACATAGGATTTTCAACTCTTGGGTCTACTGAGTTAGGTGTTCCTTCCACCACAACACACTCACACCTATTAAAAAAAAAACTACACTAACTACCTTTCTTATCAGTTATCAGCAGATGAGGCATTTACCTTCCTGAGTAATTAGAACATGTATTTCAACTCTGTTACATTAGACTGGAGGAGGAGAGGTAAGCTTACTAATAGGGGTGATGCCAAGACCCTGGAAAGTTTATAGCAGATCTCAAAGTGAACCTTGGGCAACACTATACAACAGGTAGCTTTCCATGATGAAATCCAAGAAAGGCCAACCAGTCCTCCCAGGCTAGAAAACTAACAGAAAGTCTCTCACTCAACATTCCACTGTTTCTAGATTCCTTATTCTTCCACCATTATAAAGATATCTTTTTTCTCCAATCCATAAACTCTAAGCTATAACAAGAACTGAACTATCAATTGTTATAGTTAGATTATCAATTACCTCATTTGCTTATTAATCACTAATTATTAAATTAAGGTCTTCTTATAAACCAACTTTACTCCTAGTAATTGGACAGAAAACCTAGTTTTTGGTGAGCTCTCCTCTTCAAGGCAATTTGCTAAATATTCCAAAGCAATAAACACAGTAAGGACAAAAAGGCTATAGTTAACAAGAACTATTTTCAACACCCATAAAATATATAATTTCTCCATCAAAAAACTGGTGCTAGATCATATTTCTAAGAAAAAAAAATTTCGAAGATAAATTCCAATTACATGATTACATATGTGTAAGCATTAAAAATACACATTTACCTCTTCTCCTTTACTCAAGAAAAAGTATGAAATTCAACTCTTTGAGTTCAGGTCTGTAGCAGTAAAATCTAGAAACACTGATTTTTCTGAAAACATATCAATTAGATGAGATGACAAGAGAACTGAAAATTGGGGGTTTCAAATGTCCATCAGTGGATGAATGGATAAAAAAATTTGGTATATATATGCAATTCATACTTAAAAAAAGAAATAAATTCTGATACATGATATATGGATGAACCTTGAAAACATTTCACTAAGATAAAGAAGCCAAACAAATATTTTATGATTCCATTCCTTTGAAGAATCTAGAATACTGAAATTTATAAAGACAAAGTAGAATAGTTGTTAGCAGGGATGGAAGGGGAGGGTAGTGTTACTGTTTCATGGTTATAAAGTGTCAGTTTGGGATGATTAAAGTTCTGGAGATGGCTACTGGTGATAGTTGCCCAATAATACAAAGGTACTTAATGCCCCCCAAGGGCACACTTGAAAATGGTTAAAATGGCAAAAAAAATTTTTACCATAAAAAAAAAAAATGGGGATTTGCTTTTTACACATGAAGGAAGGCACATCCTCTTTTTGATGAGATAAATATTAAATGGCTGACTATGCAAGTTATTTCTGTCAGAACAAAGAATTGGGAAGTGGGAAATGGGGAATCACCAAAAATACAGATATTACATATTTCACCTCTTCTGTTTCCCTCCAACCACTATCAAATATTACCTGTGTTTTAAAGAGTTCACTGCAGTTCTGGAACAATTTTGATGATGTTTGATATTTCCCAGACAAACCTTTTTTTTCCTTAAGGTTTTCCAAATATGTCTCCACTTCTTCTGCCTGTAAAAACAGAAAATACAAAGTACACAACTTACTTTTCACAAGGAAGGTATTTAGAAGACAACAAATAGATTGCTTACAGGACAGACACATTGTTGAATTTGCTATTTTAAAAGTTAACAGCATCAGATAAAAACTGTGTACCAGTGTCCAAGAATCTAACAGTATTAGACTCTCAAGTACTAGAATTCTAGTCCACTGCTTACAAAGAGTAGTTCTGAAAGTTCTAGGAAGACCTTCAAAATGTCAGAGTCCAGAAGGTTTTGTCACAAGAAAATATATTTACAAGAGTTAAGAGACTAAATTGCCAACACCAACAAAAAGATATACTTGTGCTCATAAGCTAAGATAGAGTACAAAACTGCTGTAGCTATTCATAGCCCACTGTGGATATTCTGAGAAAAATTCACCATTTCTGTGGCTGCATCCATCAGTTCTGCAATTTTCCTCCTATAACTACATCCCTACTCTTTCCCTTTTTTCCCTAAGCTCCAGTTTTACATCTCCAACTAGCTGCATGTCATTTCCAGAATTCTGTCCTGTGGCAACCCGAGATAATTTTTATGTTCTTATCTTACCTATAAAGACCAGATCTGCTTAAGTTCTTGACCAGTTTATCACTAGTATCAAATGTACGAAGTTTTTAACTGTAAATTCAATTAGTGATTGATTAAGAGCAAAGATCAATAATGCTTCAAACTACACTCTGGACATACTATCATTTCTCTTTAAAATTCTTCAGTCCTTCCCCCCATCCTACCTCCTATCTAATGTTTAACAAAAGCAAAAAACAGTCACCAACACCACAAAAAAGGTAATGTAAAACCCTAATACAAGGCAGGAATTCAAAATCCTTAAGGTTTGAAAAACCAACTAGATGGTGGTCATTTTTTTAAAAAACAGAGTATCTTTGAAATGGAAAAAAAGAAATAAATGGAGGCTAGAAACAGAATGGAAAAGTCCTAAAAAATCCATCTTGGAGCCATGTATCTTCAGTGCCCAAGTACAGTGTACTATGTCAACTGTGAAATGAGATCTAAAACTAATTCCACACTACTACTAATAAAGTAATAGGTTATTTGCTTTGTACTGACAATGCAAAAGTAATGATGGGTAAAACTGTTGCCCCTTATCAGGAATCAAGGCAGTGACATCTAATTGCACCAGCAGTCATTGCAGTCAGTCATACACAGCTTAAAAAAAAAAAAAAAAAATGCCAGTTTTACTAAGAATGTCTTTAACAAACAGTAAAATCTATTAATGTTATTAAATCTGGACTTTGTATTTTTTAATATTCTATGAGACAAAATGGGAAATACGCAAAATACTATAAAAAAGATAAAACACTTTACAACTGTTTTGACTTATAACCTGAACCATCCACTTTTTCCATTTACCTCCAAGAATAACTGACAAACTGTAGGTTATTCAGATTTGGTTATTTGGGAGATACTTTCTTGAAAATGGGCCAAGGGAGGCTGTTACTTCAAGGAAGACAACAGAAAGTATTGTTTTCTTGCCAATGATAAAATTTGAGCTTTCAAACTGCATCTTCCTCACAATACTTAAGTCTCTAATACTTAAGGAGTTTCTGATGTGACAGGAGGGTGATATTAACAAATATAACTTCAGGACACCTGTGCGGCTCAGTGGATTAAGCATCTGCCTTTAGCTCAGGTCATGAACACAGGGTCCTGGGATTGAGCCCCACGTATGGCTTCCTGCTCAGTAGGGAGCCTAGTTCTCCCTCTGCCTGCTGCTCCCCATTTGTGCATGCTCTCTCTGACAAATAAGTATAATCTTTAAAAATATGTACATATATATATACACATATATATAAAAAACACTTCAACTTAATTGTAAAATTAGTTAATATTTTAAAGATTAACAAAATTCAGTCAAGCACTATTTTCAAAATAACCAAAATTAGACATACATAAAAGACCAAAGTGCATGACACACCAACTTATTTAAATACAAAAGAGAAAGAATAAAGTTGACTGATGTGCTCTCAGATACCACACTGCCACCAACCTTTAAGAAACTCTACTCGTTACATTTTGGTATAAAATCGAAGAACACTACCTACAATTATCTGAAAACACTTAAAATATCATCCCCTTTTCCAACTATGTATCTGTATTATGAGGCCATATTTTGTGCATATACTTCAACCAAAATAATACATCACAATAAACTGAGTGAAGAAGATATAAGAATTCAGCTGTCTTCTACTATATCCAACATCAAATGAAGAAAGGGCTTTGGAAAAATACAAAATAATACGTCTTCTGTGTTTTTGGAAAAATCTATTTTTCACTAAAAGAAAGTTTTTTGTATTAACATGCAATGACTTATTACTGCTACCGTAAAATAAATTAATACATATTTCTGTATTTCTGTTTTAATTTCTAATGCATTAACCCACATGAACAAAAGGTTTTTTGGAAACCATAGTAAGTTCTTTTTTAATATGGAATGCTTCATGAATTATGTGTCATTCTTGTGCAGAGGCCATGCTAATCTTCTGTATTGTTCCAATTTTAGTATATGTGCTTGTTAGAAGGTGGAGGAGGAACAATAAAGTATTCCACAAACTGAGAAGGTATTTTGAGACCAGAAAATGAAGGAGGCAACTCTCTACAGTTTATGCATAATTTTATTCAGGGTAACTTACTGACAGGGGGAGGGAAATGGGCATAGGACAATACATGGGAGCTGAAGTGTTATTCTCTGCAAAATCCAGACCCTACTCCATAGATTTTATACAGTGAGCAGACACAAAGAAGCGCACTGTAGTGAGATCAAAGGAGATCAAAGGATTCCCATGCACCTGAAAAGGGCCTGCAGGCACCTAATAAACAGCTAATCATTAATTAGATCTTGTGGCACTACCTGTGCATCAGGAAGGGTAAAGACAATGTTATCTCTAACAGATTCATGGAAGGCCAAAACAAGCCTCCCCACCTCGTGGCTTTCCCTTTTCTTTCTTAAAGAAGGCATTCTCAAAGTAGGCATTTCTCAAAGTAGGCATTCCCTTTTCTTTTCTTAAAATGTTTGCTTATTTATTAAATTCAATTAATTAACATATAGTGTTTATTAATTTCAGGGATGGAGTTCAGTGATTCATCAGTCTTATATGTGATGGATGGTAATCTTCCATCACAGGCCCTCCTTAATATCCATCACCCAGTTACCCTATAACTACTCTTACAGTCACCCTTTACAGGGTCTCTTATGGTTGGGCACCTGGGTGGCTCAGTCAGTTAAGTGTCTGCCTTCTGCTCAGGTCATGATCCTTGAGTCCTGGGATCAGGTCCTGCATTGGGCTCCCTGCTCAGCAGGGAGTCTGCTTTTCCTCCCACCCTTTACCCCACTCATGCTCTCTCTAGCTCTCAAACAATAAAAATATATAAAATCTTTAAACAAAAAAGTCTCTTCTGTATTTGTATTACAAATTATATTATATATATATATTATAAATATCTTCTATATTTGTCTCCCTCTCTGATTTCATCTTGTTTTATCTTTCCCTCTTTTCCCTAATGATCCTTTGTTTTGCTTCTTAAATTCCACGTATTCCACGTATAAGGGTCTTTCTTTTTTTGATGGCTAAATAGTATGCCATTGTATGTAGATACCACATCTTCTTTATCCATTCATCTGTCAATGGACAACTGGGCTCTTTCCATCATTTGGCTATCATGGACACTGCTGCTATAAACATTTGGGTGCAGGTGCCCCTTCAGATCATTATATCTGTATCTTTGGGGTAAATACCTAGTAGTATAATTGCTGGGTTGTAGGGTAGTTCTATTTTCAACTTTTTGAGGAACCTCCATACTGTTTTCCAGAGTGGTTACACCAGCTTACATTCCCACCAACAGTGTAGGAGGGCTCCCCTTTCTCCACATCCTCACCAACATCCAGTGCTTGCTGACTTACACATTTTAGTCATTCTGACTGGTGCGAGGTGTTATCTCATTGTGGTTTTGATTTGTATTTCCCAATGCCGAGTGTCATTGAACAAATTTTCAGGTGTCTGTTGGCCATGTGTATGTCTTCTTTGGAGAAATGTCTGTTCATGCATTCTGCCCATTTCTTGATTGTATTATTTATTCTTTGGGTGTTGAGTTTGGTAAGTTCTTTATAGATTTTGGATATCCCTAAGGTTATGTATAATAATCTCTAAGGGGCATGGAACACACAGCCCCATAAGAAAAGTAACTGACAAACGAACAAAATGGGGGGCCAAAGATGGGAATCAGTACTGTCAGCACTTCTACAGTGCTGCTAAAGTGAGCAGGAGTATGCACTCATTTTTAAGGGTTGAGACCAAAAAGTTTGCTAGCATTGTAGGTCTGCAAACTGGGAAACACAGAAGATTCTAATTTCAGCTCTTTCCCTCCTAGTTACATGACACTCCTTCCTCTATAAGGTAGGACCCGATGATATTTAAAGTCCAAGAAGTCTGTTAATTTTATATTTCTTACCTTGAAGTTGTAGATTTCATTGTAACAATCAGCACTTTTCAGATACCAGGTTATATTCAAAGATACATCACAAGGTTCTCCATCAACTATAAAAGAAGAAAACTTTGTGAATAAAGATGATTCCCAAAGAAAGCATTTTTCCTAGGCTGTTACCCCACATTCTATTTTTCCTGCTAACTTTAGGTATTCAAAGACCACTTCTTCTCCAAACGTAAGATAATATATGTAAAAAGAGGTGGATATTCTTCAGATAAAAGTACTATTGTTCACAGAAGAAGTTTCTGACCTGCTTAAGTGTAGCTACTTTTATGCCTTAAAACCTCAATTCCTGGTTCTCTGTTGGAAAAAACCTGAAAGCGATAAAGCAGTCCTCAATTAAACCCAGTCTTCTATTATCATTCAAATATTTACTGAGCAGAACACTTAGGCATACAAAGCTACATGACACTGTGTCAGGCTGGAGAACAGGACTCCTAAGGAGGCTACATTCTAGTTGGAGAAACAAGGAGTAACATTAGGGACATCATAAGGCAGTATTCAAAAATAGTTCCACTGAGGGAAAAATTAATGGCTTAGACCTTGAAAGATATCAAAACTAGACAGAAAGAACTAAGGAAAAAAAGCAAACCTGGGGAAGGAAGGAAGAGCAAAAGCAAAAATGAAAAACTCTTTCCAAAACCCACCTTAAGAGAGGCCTCATGGAATCCCAAGAAGTCAGAGTGGCCTCATAACTCATTAACAATGTCTGGAACACAATATTCTAGGGGGCCAAGGCATCAGTCTGAAAACTTGAGAGCATAAATCTGACTGTATCACTCATCAGCTGTCCCACCTGGAAGTCAGTTTATCTTTGATTCCAGCTGCGTTATGGAAAATATACTACAAGATATCTGCTTTATGCAAATGTGACAAAGATAAACATGACTGTATCTAGGAATCTATTTTTGGCTCTTAACAAAAGGCGCACACCTAAAATTATAACCTTCCCTTTTGTGTTTTAAATTGTTTTCTCAAATTAATTTTCAAGTGACACACTTTTACAAGGCTCAATTAAAATACACAAAACTCTGATGTGCTAAATAAAATTTATGGAAATGATAAAAAGGATATTTGCAATCTCACTGTAAACTATTCAGAAGAACCATACAAATTCTTCTATTAACTAAACAGAAGCCAATAAGAAAACCCCTAAACAAAAGATCTTCAGAAAGACTTGGCTGCAAAAATACTACTATATGTTAAAGGACACCATTCAGAACTTTGTATAGATGGCATTAAGAGACAAAAATGGCCCCGGCAATTTCATGGAAAGCTATACCATAGCCCTAAAAGTATAAAATCAGAGACAAGGTAAACGTGAGCAAACAGAGAAGTAACAAAAGGAAACACAGTATAATTTTTTAGGAGTCTCAAATTCTCCCCAAAAACGAAATGTAAACACTGCAAAATAGCAGCTTGCGTAAGGTGGCAAAGCCCCAGTTGATCAAAAAACAGGTGAGAAAAGACTACAGATGATAAAAAGGTAGAATAGCATGCAGACTGTCAGGCTATTCCAAAAAACCAAATACCGCTATCCTGAAAAGTAAGTCTTCTCTAGCACACCAACCTCACAAGACAGACCAGCTTGTTTCAGTAATCTCATTTAAACCAAATTTAAGTCCTTAGTCAAGAAACTGTATTTTCAGACATAGTCTGTTTTTCATAGAAATTTTACTGGCCCCCTTCACTCCTGTTAGACTGTAAGCTCAGGAAGAGAGAGGGCCTATCACTTCCTTGCGATCTAAAACAATGCCTGGAGCATGTAGGTTTTTAATAACTACTTAGTAAATGACTAAAACAAAATCAACCAACTACAACTTATAACTTTGCACTTTCATGGAAAAGATAGGCAAAGAAGCACAAATGGATGTCCTGAACTTTTATCCCTGATCCTGAAACAGAGTTTACCCATGATCATTTATTCCCTAAAGTAAAGCCAGTTTCAAAAATAAAAGGAAGCCTTTCTTTAATACGCAATGGGATATTCTGGATTCAGATACAGTGGTTTTTCTCAGTGGACAGACTGGTTTTGTTCTACATAATCCCTATTCCCCAGTAATAGCCTTGAGCTTCCTCTTTCAAAGATCCAAATAAGAAAATACACCTTCTGTAAACCAAGGTTTACTGAACATATGCAATTTAGAGCCAAAGGTCTGACAAACCTAAGTCATGTGTTCAGTAAACATCTAACAAGCACACAAAAGCCAAGGCAGTGGTATCTCTTTGACACAGGACAGATTAAAACACCATGCAGACAATCAAACAACATTAATTGGTCTAACTGTATAAACACCAGAAAAACAAGAGAAGAAAATAAAGTTCACACAAGTATTCCGAAGATTACTCAGTGAAAAGACCTTAATTACACTAAGATGTTTATGCCTAGATAGTGCCAGACTATTAAATTTCAAAGCTTACATTTAGAGTAGGTCAGAGATAGAAACTAGGTAATTTAAGTTTAAAGATCACTTAAAAACTCAAATAAAAACTTCATGAAATGCAAAAACTCACATTTCAGGAAGATAGTGGTATTTTTGAACAGGATCTTTCCAAAACTAAAATAATTTTTCCCCTGCAAAGATAAAGGAGAAAGATAATTAGCATCAGATCACTTTAATTCCCAAGGCAGAATATAATTGTTACAAAACCTAAATTTATAAAATGTTTGTTAGTTTTCTTAAGAACAAAAAATACATGAATATCCTTCCTTTTAGTAAAATTCAACCGCATCCAAACTGCAGAAGTTTGTAGCTTGGTGAAGAGACACAATTTTTCCCCCACAGACCATAAAGCAAGGACTATAGAAGCTGCTAGAAATCTCAACTTAAATCTTCAAGTAAATTCCCTTCACTCACTAATCACTGTTCAGAAAAACCCAATCATTTCTTCAAATAAGCTATTTTATGAGCAGACAGATGAACTTAACTAGTAACCATTTTACCAACAATACCTAAAAGTCAGAACCTGAAGATCTTCACCGAATGAACAAAAGCTATTACTGCTTGCCATGTAAAAGCTCAAATGAAATTTCGACATTAGAGCCAGTGAGCAGAGCAGAATGAAACAAAAAGGCCACCGTTGTTTCAACAGGACTAAATGCTTTCTGGCATTTCCTGGATGCATCCGATGTGTTGGCTTGCAGGACTACAGCGCTTACTCAAATGAGGTTTAAAGGAGGGGAGTAGGAGGACAAAAAGGGTCAACCTATCTAGTAAATCATCCAAAAGAAAGGATACCTTTACCGTATCAAATTTTAGAATAAAATTTCTTCCATTTCAGCCATTCTCATGTTAGAATACATTTTTTAAATGCCTAGGCTTCCTAATCACACAGCAAAGCTTAGAATAACCATTCCAAAGTTCCAATGATATCAAACAACTTCGTTAAGTAGAATCATCCAGTAACAAAAAAGTGCAGAGAAAAAAAAAAAAGAAAGACAGACACCTATTTCCAGATCTCTCTCATGCAATTCGGGTCACTGGATTCTGTGAAACTTCAGCTGAAAGGGAAACCGTTCTCCACCTTTTCATCAACTTTCCCGTCTCAAGGCATTCAAAGTTCTAACTTCGCTGTTAAGATACCATTTCACCATTCTTCTCCTCTCCTGAAGTGGCCCTGGTACTCCCGCTAACCTACCCACAGAATGCACAGCTGTCCGCTCCAGGGAGGTGGGTCCCTGCTAACCAGCGACACAGACGCTCCAGGCAATTCCACTCCTTTGGAAGCTGACTTCAGCGGAACCTTCATGGACCCCTAAGGCCGCCGTAGCCCCACCCCTTGCTCCTCCAGGCTCAGTTGCTTCTGAAGTGAACACTCACCGACGGTATCGGAATGTGCCACTTGGATCGGTCGGCAGCGGCGACAGGTGCCGGTCCTACACCGAGGAGCGACAGTGGGGACGGCTGAGCCCCCAGAAGTAGAAGAATGACAGGCAGCACCTGAAGCCACGCAGCCGCCGCCATCTTCACAGCCATGGAGCGCCTACCGAAAGCATTTCACCTTCTTCCGGTTCGCCCCGCCCTCTTCCGGCTCTGCTCTGGGGGCGGGATCATCCGGGTCCTCGAAACCTCCCGGGGCTTGTTTGTTTGGCCACCCAGCAGCCCCTCCCTAAGCCAGCCGTCACGACCTCGTGTGAGTTTTAGACCGTACAGCGCAGACGTAGTCCTGTGGTTTGCAGGTCACCTTGGAGCGTTAGGATGTTTATTAAAAGCCGCCTCCGCTTCTGTCGGCTCTTCTCTCTCCCGGCCCTTAAAGGGTCTGGGGACCAAGGAGGCACCCAGTGTGGCGTTTGGCTCTCTCCTCCTCTCGTTTGCCCCAGCCTCTCATCCGTTCTAGATCAAAGTCAGTCGCTGGGGCCGAAGTCTGGGAAAGCCGTAAGTTCGCCTGTTTGGCGTGTAGTAGTGAGTTCTCGGGTTTCTGGAGATATTTAAGCAAAGACGGAATTTGGTAGTGGTAGAGTATAAGCACTTACAGAATTGTATCTACTGTAGTAGATACACCCTTTATAAGACCATTTAGCCCTGAAAGGGGAAAGCAGAATTTGACCGGGTAACACCAAGCTTCAGCGCAGAGTAGGCCGGCATTTCCTACTAAAAACTGAAAGTGGGTCAGTTTTCAGGATCTGTGGCGTGACGGTCACGGAGATAAACCTGCAGAACTTTGGCCTGGGTCAGGCAAGCGGTCTCCGTAATTCCTGTTTCTCACGCTCTTGACTTTTCTCCTCTAGGGCTGTTTGAGTACACGCCCCCTCCACCGCAAAGACAGTTTTGATTCCTCAAGAAAGCAGTTCTTCGTCGGGCATCCGTAACTAAGAAAATTTGGTCACCTAAATCCATGTAGAAGCGCTAATTTGGCCTGGAAAACCGAGGAGTAAGTGCAGATTTGCTACTCCTTAAGGACCTGGAGAGGACTCCATTTCCCAGGACCTGACCGTGGTGAAGTCCTGGTTATAATTTAGAAAGACGGCCAATAGGAGTTTTAAAAAGACCGCGCTTGGCCTTGGCCTGAGCGCTGAAAGCGGGTCGGATTGCTTGGGAAGCCATGGAAGCTGCTGGGAAAGAGGAGATCAGGTAAAGGCCCAGTGGTCCTGCAGGGGCTGAATCTAGACAGCAGGGGATAGATAGTAACTGAAAGCAACATTCTGGTTTTGAAGGCTTTACTGATTGTTGAATGACCTGTTAGTTGCATGTTTCATATTTATGTACTTAATCTTTATAATTTTTTCTCAATTCCCCAGCCCCTCATAAAATAGTTTTAGGATGGTTTACAAAACAGTAGAAGAGTTGTGATCAGAACTGTAACCTGTGAATTTCAAGCATGTTGCTTTCCATATTCAGCTGTACCCCCATCTTCCTGTATTAACAGAGCTCATTCTACAAAGCTGGAAAGCAAAAAGACTAAATTTCTCAAATCTTTGCAGACTTGATTAAAAGGAACAATGAGAAAGACTGCATCAGTGAAGGATTTGATGACTTCCAAAAAAATAATTTTTTAGTACAGCCAAGTGTATCTGTGTGGGCTTGTTTTCCTATCTGGAAATTTGTGTTCAGCCATAGTTTCCTACATATTCGTAGACATGCTGACTATAGCTGTATTCAGCAACATGTCTGCTTGAAGGCCAGTGGTTTTCCCCCTCCTTACAGTCTATAGTTGTTTTAATCATATGGAGGCTAATTTATTTTTTTAAAGATTTTATTTTTAAGTAATCTATACCCAACATGGGGCTCTCGAACTCAGGACCCCAAGACCAAGATGCTTCACTGACCGACTGAGTAATCCAGCTAGGTGCCACTGGAGGCTAATTTAAATGCATATTCTCTAGCAGCAATATGTATGTATCTTATTCATGGTCTGTTCCAGAAAAACAGCTATTCTAGGAACTTGGTTTTAAAAAGCGTTGACTCCTAATTGCCAGCATCGTTCAAAAGCAAAAGATTTTCCTTTTACATCTGTTTCTATTATTCATTCCCTTGCACATACCTCTGTTGAAGTATTTGTCAGGTTGATTTGTACTTGTTGGTTAGGCTCTTGTAGGAAGCTCAGACACATTCCTTCCTATCTTTCTCAGGGCCCAGCACTCAGTAAGAATATTTTGAAAATACTTTATCGAATAAGTGGGTGGATTGTTTTTGTTTCATTTGGATTTTTTGTGGTTTTGCTTCTTCTGATTTTATTATTGTAGTCATAGCCTTCAGTCATTATTTTAAAAGAATCCTTCCTTATAAGTGACAGTACTCTTTTTCCAGTGTTTCAGTGTATTCCCAGAACTTGATATTTTGTTGTTTACCTTGTGTGATTTACAAAAGGATGTTACTCTGCAGCACACAGGCTATCGTATTATGTTATGGTCACGACACAATTTTGCATTGCAGAAGTTGATTACCTAAGTTCATGCTGTAGTTAGAGAAGGAACAAAAATTGGATTCACAAACTTTGGAGAAAATAAATTTCTTAAAATGTCTTTTTATTTAGTGTTGAAGATGAAGCTGTGGATAAAAACATTTTCAAAGATTGCAACAAGATTGCTTTCTACAGGTAAGAAGAGGAAATGTATTACCTGACCAAAACATTTCAATATTGCAATGTTTGTAAGCTTTTTAAGGAAAGGGTCAGTTAGGAAATATAGTCATTAAGAAATTCATCAGACAGGAGACATTCATCTTTATACACTTATTACTGTCTTATTTAAATTTCTTTTTTTTTTTTAAGATTTTATTTATTTATTTGACAGACAGAGATCACAAGTAGGCAGAGAGGCAGGCAGAGAGAGAGGAGGAAGCAGGTTCCCTGCTGAGCAGAGATCCCGATGTGGGGCTCGATCCCAGGACCCTGGGATCATGACCTGAACCGAAGGCAGAGGCTTTAACCCACTGAGCCATCCAGGCGCCGCCATTTTTTTTTTTTTTTTAAGTTCTAAATAAATACATATCTTATTTTAAAAGTGTTTATATCTTTTTTTTTTTAAGATTTTATTTATTTATTTGACAGAGAGAGAGATCACAAGTAGGCAGAGAGGCAGGCAGAGAGAGAGAGAGAAGCAGGCTCCCCGCTGAGCAGAGAGCCCGATGCGGGACTCGATTCCAGGACCCTGAGATCACAACCTGAGCCGAAGGCAGAGGCTTTAACCCACTGAGCCACCCAGGTGCCCAAAAGTGTTTATATCTTTGAACAGATAATACTTCTATAGGTTTCAGAAGTCAAATAATATAAAAAGATATACTTTGAAAAGGGTTACTCCCATGCCTGTCTCCCTTCACCCCATTCCACATATTATCCCTGTAAGTAACCAGATTTATTAGTTTCTTATTTATCCTCCCAGTATTTCTTTTTGTAAATACATATATTCTTATATCACTGCCTTTCTTATTAACAAGTCACTTCCTATATATGTTGTTGTGTTTTTTCTGCTTTATAGTTTATTCTGAAGAGTTCTGCATGAGTGTATAGAGATTGTCCTCTCTTTTTATGGCTGTGTAGTATTCTATTGGGTAGATGTACTATGATTTATTTGTTCTCCTTCCTATTGCTAGATCCTTGAGTTTTTAATCTTTTAGCTATAAAGTCATGCCATAATGAAAAGCTAAACATGTGTCATTTCCTACACCTGCAAGTGTATTTATAGGATTAATTTCCAGGAATGGTATTACTGCATCAAAGAATAAATACATTTAAAATTGTACCTATTACCAGAGACACCCCCATAGGGATTATACCGCTTTTATGCCCTAATCACCACTGTATAAGATTACCTGTTTCCCCAGAGCTTCAGAAAATATTTCTTTAAAATTCTTCTGTTGAGTATCTGTCTTTGTGTGATCCTAAACCTGAAACCACCAAAAATTGTATCCTATGTTACAAATTTCTAATTTATTCACACTGCTCTAAAGGAAGAAAATCAGATCACTTATATTCGGAATAGGTACCTTAGAAGGAATTCTATAGGGAACTCTTGGTCATTTTGTAAAGTCACTGGATTATATTGGATTTCCATAAGAATTTATTGAGTTTCTATTAAAGTGTACATTTTGTGGAAGGAGGGAGGGAAATTAACAAGCTAATAAATGTCATCTATGAAAACTGCCCCACCTTCTCAATAAAGGGGACGAAATGCCGTTCTCGGACAGTGCTTTGTTGAGCAATTACATTCGTATTATTCTTATTCGTACTAATTTTATTAGCACTCTAGTAACAAAGTACTCCTGTTAGTACTTTATGAGAGTACTAATACTGTCTGGACCCAGTTCATTCACCATCATAGTGAATTTTAATGACTTCCACATGATAATATAGTCTTGGATGCTGACAGTCACAAATAATTCTTGGGTATATATATTCTGTATATCTGCAGGCGTCAGAAACAGCAGCTCTCCAGGAGATCAACCTATAAGGCATCACTAGACTCAGCCACGACAGGCAAAGACAGCACCAAGTTCCGAATCATCAATGAAACAACCAAGGTGAGAGAGAAGTATTTTCTACAGAGAATTATTTGTTCCAATATTAAGTTGGGTTTGAATGAAGTAAAGTTCCACAAAGGCTAATAATTAAAACTATGTATGCTTCAAAAATAAACTTTGTTGAAGAAGTAATGTCATCTTTTTTGTATCTATACTACTTTAAAAGTAATGTAAATATTAACTTACCCATTGCCTCTGTATCATATGCTTTCCTACATGTTTTACAAACGTTATTTCCTTTTAATTAGTCCTCATAATACAGAAAAGTGACTAGAAAGTCACCTGCTTAAAGTCAGAGTCAAGTTTTCCCCTGCATCTGTCAACTCTATCAAGTACTCATGTTCTGTTACTGTTACACAGTGCGCAGTTGAGCATGCAAATGAGCAAGGTATGGATTCAGGGACTGTCCAAACTTCAGGGGAGCAAGGGACTATATAGTTGAAAACCTAAGTCACAAATGTGCTATCTTCCTGGGCTGCTTCACTAGCAGATCATCCTGGTTATTACATACTGAAAGGATGAGAGCAGTATATTAAGTACTTTTTCTCACTTGTCA